AGGTAAGGTCCTACTACTACGGAAAGCCCTCTTCGGCTTAAGGGTATCGCTACTACTATAGTAAGAGGAATTTAGCGGCACGCTATAGAGGATAGGATTCACGGCCATACCTAATAACCCCTATATTATACTCCGCGACGGTTTAATCCTATTCTTCTACGTCGATAATATCGGACTTATCTACTACAGAGATTATAAGGCGGACGCCGACGACCTTAAGGCCGCCCTTAAACGAAGCTATAGGTTATTAGGAGGCGAAGAAATCCGTTGGTTCCTAGGAATTAAGGTCCTAAGGGATAGAGCCATCCGAAGGTTATAGCTATTATAATCCTCCTATATGGAGAAGATCGCGGTTAAATACTACGTAGATATACTCTGCCGAAAACCACTAAAGGTCCTATTATTAACGATAAAGCCGCTAATACCCCGCGATAGCATACGCGCGTCGATTCCCGAGGTCCGTTAGTATTAGGGTATAATCGGTTCTATCCTATACGCCGCTATCGTGATAAGACCCGATATCGCGTTCGCCTATTTAAAGCTTTCCTAATATAACGTTAACCCCTCCTCTAACCATCCTAAAAGGGCTTAATAAATACTGCTATTTCTATACTATATAAGACACCACTGCCTAGAATTCGGCGGGGATAGGCTCTTCCTGATAGTAAGCGACACGTCCTTTAGGGATAATCCAGACCGTAAGAGTTCGTAAGGATATACGATAAAGCTCTTCGGCGGTACTATTAACTAGAAAGCGGGTAAATAACCGACGGTTATAATATCGTTAATAGAATCGGAACTACTCGCTCTTATAGAGGCCGCTAAAAAGACGTTATTCGTTAGCCGGATCTTAAGGGATTTAGAGCTTCGGCTAGACTAATAACAGCTATAGCTATACTACGATAATTAATAGACTATTAACCTTATTAATAAGAAGGTATAACGCCTACGGATAAGGCTACGGCATATCGATATATATAACTAATAGGCGCGCTAGTTAGTATAATAAGGTCTCTTTAAGGTTATATACGTTAATACGAAAGAGATAATCGCGGACGGATTAACGAAGGCATTACCAGAGGCGGGGATTAAAAGACTATAGTAATAGCTTAATTTAACTAATTAAAAGGATCGTATCGAGTAGTCTAAACGACTACACGAAGAGATTAAACGCGCTGAAGCGGTCGTAACGAAGGCCCCCGAGGGCGTGGCAGATCCGATAGATATAGCTCTAATTAATTAGATCCGGCTAATCAGGATCGAGGAACTAATTAAGATAGAATTGAATTAAACGGTTAAATAGGGCGGATTTAGATCCCTTTTATAAGGGCGTTTTCCCTTAACTATTAATCTTACGATAGAAAAGTTAAGAGCGTTTGGTTTAAACCGAAGCCTCTGATTGTTAGTTGACCTGGGAAGACCCACCTTAACTAAGGGGGTGTGTTATATAGGCAGGACCACGATATAGTCTATAGGGGATCTAGGGGGGATCCACTCTATAACTAAGGGCTCCGGATATCGGGGACTTCGGGTATTAGGATATAATAAGGGTGGATACCGGAAAAGACCGGATAGGATCTAAATGATATAGTACCCATAACAGAGTCTTTACCACCTAAATTAAGGGTATAAGAGACTCTCCCAGATGTAACTGGAGATAATACACACACACAAGATTTCTGCTCTACTAAGTTGATCATTCAAGTGCCTTTTGACGTGCGACAGGTACTCCACACGTCTGATACTATATGGTTTGTCACACCCCGATAAGGTGGCTGTGGCATCTGATAAGATGAAAGAGGACATTGCTTTCCTTTATTTTATCTCGCTTCTCTCCTTAAGGTCCTTGCCACGTGTGTACCCTGTTAATTAAATGCTTATTGATTCGACCAAGCCAAGATAAGATTCGTTGCACAAACTACCCCAGGCCCGTCCCTTATGTCCACATGGAGGTCCACGGCGCCGGGTACATTTCGTACCTAACCTAACTGTTGGGTTCCTAATACTAATTGGCAAGCGGGCGCCGTGTCAGTTCGGACCATGGACAATCCTGCAAGAGAGGGCTGATCTAATGATTGCGTTCCGATGTGCCTGCCGCCAGCGCAGTGGTTTACGAATACAAAACTGGCAACGACTACGAAGTAGAACGGATCGTATTCTTGGGGTAATAAAGACAATCGAGATGTCACCAAGGACGGGACCGTGCCGCGTGGCAACGGAGAGGCTGAGGACTATACCTACTTTGTATAACAGTTCGCAGTCCGGCCTGCTCTATTTAACTTGCAGCGGTTCACCTTTTCGTTTTCCGAGGCTTACAGGGATGAGACATTGCCTGCAGCATGGTTTCACTAGTCAACACCCGAAGCTGATGGGTTGAACATCGGTCAAGTCAGGAATAGAGGTGCGCGCTTCGAAAGCTTTTACTTTGTATACAACGTACCACCTTCAAATGCTCATACTAACGAAGAGGGAAGAGATTGTGGAATAAAATTTCCCGTGACGTCTTCGTTTTGACAGGCAGCAAGCAGAGCATTCACTTCGCCCCGTGACTGGGAGGTGAAAGCAGTGCGGACAAATACGGCAAATACGGTTCTCCCCATCCTCACCGCTTATCATCCCCGAGTCAAGACGCCGGTGAGGTGACGCGAGTGAGCCGAGAAGATTCGAACATTGTTTCTACGGAGTATAGGTATCTGGTGATTTATTATGGACTGGAAACCACGACAGATTCGGTCTGAGGGGACCTCCTGCTCCGCTGATAGACATGGTCTATCCCTAATCGTCGAAATGAGGTCTGCAAGGTATTGCCTGACACACGGGTAATAAACAACACTCCCGTCAAAAAGATGATGCTTCCTGGGCGAGGGAGACACACGAAGTAAGGTACTTCGCAATTACCTCGTGTGAAAATATGGTACCTAAGGTACTCTGTAGGCTGATAGGGAATTTACGTTTTTGTCGAGATGCTACTCCGTGCTTGTCCCTAGCAGTAACAGAAATGTTGCTTTCACTGGTACTGGAGCGACCGGAGTACGGGGTTACTCCTGTCACCGGATTCCCCTTCTCCGGAACGAATGCACGTGCCACTCACCATGTCACTCGTAACTGGTTTTCAGGAGATAAAGTACTTCGTACACCGTACAGTACACCTGGAACTAAACATAGCAACGTGCTAGGTACCCCGTACAGAGTAATTATCTGCTCTTAATATTCGTAGGTGCCAATAAGGAATTGGTCTCAGCAGCCCATTTAGCGCCGCCATATGACACCTCACCTACTTACCTTATTGACATTCCTATTCCCAACCTCCGCCCCTGCCATTCCGGGCCTCGCTTCAATCTCCTCTCCTCGTACCTGCGTCTGCGTGCGACGAAGACCTGAGCTACCTTATTCACATAAACCTGGCTATCTCTTGTCTTCGAGGACCAACAATTTCCTGCCCCATACGCCTGCTCGCCCTACTACCACCCGCCCGTGCGTGTGGTTTGTGTGGTCAACACTGCTCTCCCCACAATAGGTCCTGTCGGCATTCTGAGCCATACGTATCCGCTACCTGCCATTGCTAGGCCTCCCGAGTCTCGGCTCCTTACCACCTCCATAGTAGGTATCACCTTCGACCTGATCTCGCTTCTTGTCACGATATTTCCGACTGAGATTGAGCTGGCAAGTAGCTATTCTGTTAGTCGCCGATTGTTTCCATTAATTAAGGGTCTTTTCCTTTTCACTGCCGACAGCGGTTGCATGACGTCTGCCCTGTACCTTGTCTGCCCTGCGCACGCACGACGCACGACGTTCTGGCTTGCTGTCTCTAAAATTACTGATAGATTGGCTGATTGAACAAGTCTTCGCTGCAGTTTGCAACCCGAAGAAATCTATTCCTCGACGTCCCGGCATACCATCACGCCTCCCAACTCGTACACCTAGGAATCTCGCCATCTTTTGGCGATGGATCCGTGAAGCGCTCTGATGCTTGAAACTGAAACCCAGTCACGGAGCACGATCCCTTTATTTTTCTTGTGCGACATTCTCTCCTCAGCCTCCCCGCCCAGTGGCACAGTGACACCAGCCCCTTCCGCCTCGAGTCCGACGTCGGCTCTCGCGCTGTTCACCATGGGTATCTGTATGAGCGCAAATCACGACGAGGTGGAGCAGAAGAAGAAGAGCCAAGCAATCGACCGACAGTTAGAAGAGGATTCGAGAAGGTTGCGACGGGAATGCAAAATCTTGCTTCTCGGTAAGCTGCAGAACCACGTGTTCATCTCGACTTTTCATCTCGATATGGATGGGACCATTGACTAACCACGTCTGCCTCTTTAGGTTCGGGCGAGAGCGGCAAGTCTACAATAGTGAAACAGATGAAAATAATTCACCTCAAGGGATACTCTGAAGACGAACTATACAACTACCGCCCGACTATCTTCAAAAACCTAGTAGAATGCGCCAAGGCCGTCATCCTCGCCATGCGCCAATTTGGCATCGAGCCCATCCTCCTGGAGAATAGGGAATACGCCAACTTTTTGATGGAATACACCGCCGAGTCAGGACCCCAGGCACACATCGACCCTCAAGTCGGTATCGCGATACAATCTATATGGAATGATGCTGCGAAGGAGCAATTGATGGACCGACAGACCGAGTTCTACCTAATGGACTCGGCAGAATAGTGAGAAAGCCCCAGTTTCGGCATGCGTATCGTTTCGCGGGCTTATTCTGACCTGATTCTTGTTCAGTTTCTTTCAAGAAGTCATGCGGATTGTCGCGCCGGATTATCTCCCGACTGAGATGGACGTTCTTCGCGCCAGAACGAAGACCACCGGCATATACGAGACTCGATTCCAGATGGGCCAGCTTAGCATCCAGTAAGTCTCTGGTGGCCGCAGATCGAACCGGTCATCTTAGCATGTTTGATGTTGGCGGACAGCGGAGCGAGCGCAAGAAGTGGATTCACTGTTTCGAGAATGTCACGTCCATCATTTTCTGCGTCGCACTAAGCGAATATGACCAAGTTCTTCTCGAAGAGAGCAGCCAGGTAAGTACCAGCTCCGAAAAAGGCAGGAGGCACTTACAGATCTGGGATGCTGATGGGTGCTGCCAGAACCGCATGATGGAAAGCCTACTGCTTTTTGACTCCGTAGTCAATTCGCGGTGGTTCATGAGAACGAGCATCATCCTCTTCCTCAATAAGGTCGACATATTCAAGCAGAAGCTCAGCCGCTCGCCCATGGCCAACTACTTCCCAGACTACTCAGGTGGAAACGACGTCCACAAGGCTGCCAAATACCTCCTATGGCGGTTCAATCAGGTGAATAGGGCGCACCTGCACTTGTATCCGCAGTAAGTATTCATTCTGGCTGGTTTGGTTCTCTATGCTGTACTCTATGCGGTCCGCTGACCAGATGACTAGTCTCACGCAAGCGACGGACACGTCAAATATCCGACTAGTCTTCGCGGCGGTCAAGGAAACAATACTAAACAATGCGTTGAGGGATATCGGAGTCCTCTGATGAGATGAATCGCCTCGGCAACCGCAGCAGCACTGGACTGCAGCATCGAAAAGAAGCGTTTCCTATGTTGCGTTGTGAGCGATTGGAGCATGGTTTCGGCGTTGAGGAATGATCCCTCTGCGGGCGGCGTTCTATTCGGCTTTCTTCTTTTCTTTTTGCGGTCACTACCCTCCACCAACTTCGGATATGAACGCGATACGACTTATCACTGCGGCCTTTTTTGTTTCCTTTGTCCTATTTGACGGACGTGGCAGATATCCGAAATTCTACACGCTAATTAAACGGTTTGGGCGCGAGTTTGGTTCATTGGGAACTAAAAAGACTAGGGAAGTGTGGCCAAAACGTAGATATCACAACCCCATTTCCCCTTAAGCCTGTCGTTGATCATCTCTTTGTTGATTCTATCGAGTGTTTTCTCTAAATGAGACTGGCGGGGTATCATGGCATTCATGGCTATGAGACGTACAGTCGCGTCGGGGTGAAAGTGAAAGAGCGAGGAGGAGGCGTCACACTCTGATATGCAATGCCCCCCCTTGATGGCTCTGTATGGCTACCTAGGAGTTCTGTTGTTCCATAAGCAGGCTTGGGGACTGAGGAGCAAGGCAGCAAAAGCGGCATTACCGGCAGAGAGGACAGGCAAGCCATATGCGTTGCGACATCTTGGAAACTAGTTACACACCATACCGGTTCGCATTGCCCATGGAAAAACAAAATTGGATTGGCCGATGGATTTGCTCTGAAAGATATCAAGATCTATAGACTTGTCAAGTATCAGACAATCCTCAACTAACCAGATTATGTAGCTTACAACCTTCGAGGGCATATCCATTCCTACATTTGAATCGCGAGCACTTCCTCACTCGGGTCCACTTGTCTGCCTTTTGGAGACGGGAGTTCGTCTTGGGGATCGTGTCAGAGTCAGGCTGCACCTGATCGGAACGGCATCGGGTAAGGGCGGTGACCGGAAGTGAGGGAATAAGAGGCGTTCAAGGGGTGGTGGTGTGATCGACTGGACCAACCAACCACCAGAGAGCCAAGAAAACATCCTTCGCATCTCCAACCTCTGATGGATACCTACAGTACTGAGTGCCTCACCTTAGGTAGGACGTACCTGGCATGGCAGGTGCTGCTGGTCACCTCAGATACCTACCTACCCAGGTCGACTTCATGGGCGCGTCGGTACGTTGTACGTGGGTACCTTAGGTTGCATGGCACCCCTCTTTTCCAATATTTCCTGCGGGGTTGCCTGAAAGTCCACAGTGATTTCTGTGATCTGATTCCCAACGTCCTCCCACCAACGCCAGTGGTTCTCCTTTTATCAAGTCTAGCTAAAGTGGGGTTGCCTGCCAAGTAGTCGTGATCCTGTCCAGACCGAGCCAGCCCTTCGTGCTTCGCACAACAAGAACTGGAACTTTTACGGATATTTTATTAATGCGCATGCAACAAGACGACGAAGAGACGGAAGCTGAAGCGGAGATGGCGGCAAAGAGCTCCCGTCAGCACGAGTCTACCTGTTGACGTACGGTGTACTACCCGTACTCGTCTGTTGACCAATGCTTGGTGAGGTCATACCGGTCAGAGCCCCGCAGGTTGTGGCATCCAGATCCGTTGTGGTCGTACTCACAGGCTAGGCCCTGTTAATTCTGCTCGATAAGCTGATGGCGGCAGGACTAGATACAGTAGAATGAGCGATGGGGATTCATCGAGCCTTGGATAGATTTCAGATTTATGGGGCCGGGCATGGTTCGACTAAGGTATCCGTATCCTAAGGTAGGTACGGTAGCTTTTAAGTATTAGTTGTGTTCCCCAAAACTCTCCCTCCGGACTCGTTCCATCCTTCGCTTTCGGCTTCTTTTACGTTTCGCCCACCAACCTCCTCACTGCTCTTCGGCTGTGACGCGCAGGGGATTTGAAATTGGGTCTCGTCAGTCCGTACTGTCTCACCGATCAACGTACACAACCGCCTACATTACTGCAACTGACGTACTGGAACTCGCACTTGATAGGAAATTCCGTGTCTGTACGAGCAAGTAGCACGTATAAAGGGCAGCACAGCAGCTTCCCCACCCAAACAACGTCCTCGCATAATTATAGGTAGGTGGACTCTGAGATCCTTCCTCCCTTCATTCCTCCTCTCGAGCCTTCTGTCAAGGGCATCTTGCTTCAATGGATTGCGTCTCCGCTGTTTTGACTCCGTCTTCACTTCGCATGTTTCTTCAGGGAACACTCTATCTTTCTATTCTATCCCAGCTTTAGGTGACTGATATGCAGAGCAGTGCCCCCCAACGTCACCAACCAACCTCGCGCAACGATCGACAGATCGCCGCAGCCATGTCCAAGAGTCCTGATCGACTTCCTACTCGCGAGCGGCGTCCCTCGACGAGCGCCCCTATCTTCGATATCCAAGGATCTGTCGGCCCAGCTGGCATCTCCCGTCCTAAACACAAGCGGACATACACGGGTTTTGATGTTGACGAAATTAAGATTGTCCAGGGCAAGTAGACAGAATTTCTTTTTATTTTATTTTACAGCTGCGTCTTCCACTTCCTTATCTTCACTGCCTTGAACATAATCGGTCATATCCGGTTCTTAGCGTCCACAGTATGGCTACGATGAACCAATGGAGCTTTTGAAGAGGGGAGATTGGTTCAACTCGCTCAATACGGAAGCCCTGAGGGAAGGGGGAAAACAAAAAAGAAGAAAAAAGGAGTCGAGACCAAGATGTTTCCAGGCATTCCGGGCGTGGTGCTGGTGAGGCACTGTCAACAGCGGGGTGAATTCCCACCGAGTTCTTCGCCAGGGAGCTTGGGCCTTATCGCAGCTCTAGCTTACCTTAGCTCTCGACTCAGCGGAGTGAGCCATCGCTATTAGCGCTGATCCAGAGAGCGTCCTGTTACGACAGTACGGTTACACATGTACCTGCGGGGCCCCAGAGGCCTGAAGCCAAGCTTCCGTTGCGACCATGTTCCGAATAGCACGAGGAACATTACGGCTTGCTACTACACACCCTACACGCATCCCTTCTTCACTACGTCGCACAGATTGCTGCCATCCCACTTTGTACACTGGTCACATCGTTATCCGCTTGCTTTTATCGCGCTCTCCAGTATCTTTTTCGGCTAGTGGAACTCCTGCTGACCTTCCTCTGTCATCGTTCAGCCTCTATTCCTGAACCCCAGCGTGAGGCATGGGCAAGAAACCATCACAAGGCCTTCCAGACGAAAGAGGACTTCGAGAAGGAAGTCGTGCGCCATGTCGAGACTACCCTTGCCCGGAGCATGTTCAACTGTGATGAGTCGGCTGCCTACTCCGCCACCGGCCTGGCCTTCCGCGACCGCCTTGTGACGCGGTGGAATCAGACCCAGCAGCGCCAGACCTTCATTGACAGCAAGCGTGTCTACTATCTCTCGCTCGAGTTTCTTATGGGACGCGCCCTCGACAATGCCATGCTCAATGCTAACCTTAAGGACGTTGCCAAGGGTGAGTTGGTCACGAGCCCGTCAAGTCCTTTTTTTTCTTCTTCTTTTCTTTTTTCCCACTTACCCCGTCCGTCTTCTCTTCGACTTCATCCTCAAATCATAGGTATCTGATTTGCGAACTAACAATTCTCATTGTAGCGGGTCTCGATGATCTCGGTTTCCGCATTGAAGATATCATTGAGCAGGAGAATGATGCCGCTCTGGGAAACGGTGGTCTGGGCCGCCTTGCTGCTTGCTTCCTCGATAGTCTTGCCACCCTCAATTACCCAGCATGGGGATACGGTCTGAGGTACCGCTATGGCATCTTCAAGCAAGAGATCATCGACGGCTATCAAGTTGAGGTTCCAGACTACTGGCTCGACTTCAACCCCTGGGAGTTTCCGCGCCATGATGTTACGGTTGATGTGAGTAATTGAAATGGACTTCAAGGCCTGAGAAAGAGGAGGGGGGGAAGCTGTCACAAGTGTCTTCTGCGAAAAGCCAAGTTATGATCGGACGCCAGATTGACTTGAATTCACAGATCCAATTCTTCGGTCATGTTCATAAGATGACGGACAAGAATGGTAAGCCCTTCTGTCACTGGGAGGCCGGGGAAACTGTCCAAGCCGTGGCGTATGACATGCCTATCCCCGGATACGACACCCCCTCCACCAACAACCTGCGGCTCTGGTCCAGTAAAGCGGCCAGCGGCGAGTTCGACTTCCAAAAGTTCAATAGCGGTGACTATGAAAGCTCCGTTGGCGACCAACAACGGGCTGAGACCATCAGTGCTGTGCTCTACCCGAACGACAACCTCGAGAGGGGGAAGGAACTTCGGCTCAAGCAGCAATACTTCTGGGTTGCCGCCTCTCTGTATGACATCGTTCGCCGCTTCAAGAAATCGAAACGCACCTGGAAGGAGTTCCCCGATCTAGTCGCCATTCAGCTGAATGACACGCACCCAACCCTAGCCATTGTTGAGTTGCAACGGATTTTGGTGGACCTTGAGAGGCTTAGCTGGGATGAAGCATGGGATATCGTTACCTCGACGGTCAGTTTGTTAAACATCCACCCAGTGATTACCCTTTTCTAACCCTTCTTTCCGTCTCCAGTTTGGCTACACCAATCACACCGTCCTGCCGGAGGCATTGGAGAAGTGGCCCGTTACTCTTATGCAAAACCTCCTTCCGCGTCACTTACAGATTATCTACGACATTAATCTGTTTTTCCTCCAAGCCGTCGAGAAGAGGTTCCCTCAAGACCGTGACCTACTTAGTCGGGTCTCTATTATCGAAGAGTCGCAGCCCAAGATGGTTCGCATGGCTTTTCTCGCCGTCGTCGGCTCCCACAAGGTCAATGGCGTGGCCGAGTTGCACTCCGACCTTATCAAGACCACCATTTTCAAGGATTTTGTCGAGATCTACGGGCCCGACAAGTTCACCAACGTCACCAACGCCATCACGCCCCGCCGCTGGCTGCATCAGGCAAACCCTCGCTTGTCCGACCTGATCGCATCCAAACTCGGAGGTTATGACTTCTTGAAGGATTTGACCCAGCTCAGCCAACTTGAACTCAGCCTAAACGACAAGGCGTTCCGAAAAGAATGGGCCGAGATCAAGTACGCCAATAAGGTTCGACTGGCCAAGTACATCAAGGCGACGACGGACGTCAGTGTAAATCCGACTGCACTCTTTGACGTGCAAGTCAAGCGGATACACGAGTACAAGCGTCAGCAGCTGAACATCTTTGGTGTTATTCACCGGTATCTCACCCTCAAGGCCATGTCCCCCGAGGAACGCAAGAAACAGCAACCGCGCGTGTCCATCTTCGGCGGCAAGGCTGCGCCTGGCTACTGGATGGCAAAACATATCATTCACCTGGTCAACAACGTTGGCAGCGTGGTGAATAAGGACGAGGATATTGGCGATCTCCTGAAGGTGATCTTCCTTGAGGACTACAACGTCAGCAAGGCCGAGATGATCATTCCTGCATCCGACCTCAGCGAGCATATTTCCACCGCGGGGACTGAGTAAGTCTCCACTGATATGTTAGTCACCCTCAGCCAAGAAGTGATGGCTGATTTTGTAACAGGGCGTCCGGAACAAGCAACATGAAATTCGTTCTCAACGGAGGCTTGATCATTGGAACCTGCGACGGAGCAAACGTAGGTTTCCCCCCTTTCAGGAGGACGTTCCACCTTGCTAACGTTTAATCCAGATCGAGATCACCCGGGAGATTGGCGAGAACAACATCTTCCTGTTCGGCAACCTTGCCGAAGACGTCGAAGACCTCCGGCACGCGCACACCTACGGCTCTCATACCCTTGATCCGGAGTTGCTCGCGGTCTTCTCCGAGATCCAAAAGGGCACCTTCGGGGCGCCACATGACTTTGAGGCACTGATCTCGGCCGTCCGGGACCATGGCGACTATTACCTTGTATCGGACGATTTCCATAGCTATATCGAGACGCAGGCGCTCGTCGACGAGTCATACAGGAACCAGGAGGACTGGGTCACTAAAACCATTACCAGCGTGGCGCGAATGGGCTTCTTCAGCAGCGACCGCTGTATCAATGAGTACGCCGAAGAGATTTGGAACATTGAGCCCCTGCAGGTAAAGGAATGATGAAGCAACGAATATCCATGTGGTATTGAAGGTTGGGTCGGAATTTCCGCGGTTGAAGAAGCAACAGGGGCTTGGCAGGGAGTCCGGCGGCAGAGGCCACTGATCTTTTTTGCCCTGCGATGACAAATTTCCCTATGTACGTTAATAAACCTAACTAAAGCATACAAACAGCAAAGCACAGCAGCAGCACAGCAGCAGCTGGTTGTCTATCCCATCGTTTATGATAACCTATCGCGGCACAATTGAACGGATGCTATGCTATGCCAGGCCACATCTACGACGTACTTAGAGGTAGGTAATCCGTGTGCCACTAAGGTAAGGAGCAAGTGCTTGTCTATGTCCTTCGATTTACATACCCATACTGTGCGGACTGTATCGAAGGAGGGCAATTCCGAACGCCAAAGCAAGGGGTGGAGCGGGGAAACACCATCGTTATAGGTACAATGACGTCATTATGCTTCAGTTCCAGACGTACGAAGTACACTACTTTCGTACCTTTGCACTGGGACAATGTATCGGAGCCTCGGGGTTTTTTTTTTCGTTAAAATAATACAATACGCTGGCCATTTACATATTCATCTTTATGTTGAATCTTTTTCAGCCGCTTCCTGATGCAATTAATTTATTGTATAAAAGCAGGTGGGATGTCCCTATGTACGCGCGGAAATTATAGGGGAACGGCCCATATATCGGAAACACAAGGACATTCTCCAGCTCAGCCAACAACCTACCTAGGTAGGTAGGAGGGAAGAGGGAAAAGAAGAGACTGACAGAGTTTTCGGTCCATATACACGTGTGCTTCGCAGGGTTCTGCTGCAAAGCGACGTCACATTCGGTCTCGTCATACGAAGTATAAATACATACCCCCTATCCCTAGACCGACTCAGGGGGCGGGCGACAGGACCCCACGATGGATGGGGCAAGGGGCAAGCTGACAGGCTGGCTGGTACACATGTAGGATGCGAGGGGATGACCGAGTTCTAGCCCTTTACATACGTCTTGGCCAATGGAGACTGCTGCGAAGTCTCATCGTTGATTTCGATTCTTTTTTCGCATTCCTTTTTCGCTAGGCGGCTTGGACAGAGATGTGGTATATTCCGGGAAAAAAAATCCAGAAGTAATCATGGGCGGCTCTTACCGCCAGGGTGTGCCTATAGCAAGCTACAGCTAGCTAGGTACTCAAGTCAGTTCGCGTAAGCCTAAGAATACCGGTGCTCTAAGCGTAACGCTTTCTTAAGAAGACCGTTTAGACAGCGATCCAAAAAGGGGTCGGGAAGGTGAGTGGGGTGCGGGAGGGGTTAGCCCTTGGATCCTGCTAGTCGTTAGGTAGTGGCCACGGTGAGAATAAAGGATATTCAGGGTTCACTTAGGGGTCTTTTAAGGATAAACGAGTTATCAGAACATTACTTTATATTGTTCCATACGACGAACCGTCCGAGGACGACAGTGCCGCGTCATTATATTGCTACCTGCCTAAGGTAGTAGGGTCAGCAGCTATCTCCGCATCAGGACCTGTAGGGCGTACGCGTATGGCATTTCGTGGACACCAACATGTCCTGCTGTCTGTAAGATGCGAAAAGGCGGAAAGCCTCAACTCTCTCTACACGTTTTGATCTTGTCGCGGTTTGATGCAATGATGTCAGAGGCAGCGTTGTACCGTGCATGCATGAAAGAAATGGGGGGACTAATAAGGGAGACTCGGAGACGGACGGTCCAGACCACACATATCGGGCTGCTGCGCTATCAGGAGTGTTGTATTACGTGCTTCTCGTAAAGGGGTGAGAATATAACAATGTTGAGAATACAAGCGGTGGCACCTTCCAGGTTTTCATGCAGCCACAAATCCACGAATAAGAGGCTGAGAATGCACTAATGTGTCGGTGTGTGCTCGGGGTGGATTGGTGTGGAGAGGTACATGTACTTGAAGCATGTTAGTGCGGCCAAAGAAACCCATTAGTTTCCCCATCCTTAAAATGATCTCGATGCTTCCGAATTATGACGTCACCCGCATCATCCCGCCCCTCGAAGGCAGCTCCGACACCCGGATGATAGCCCGCATTAATCTCTTCATGTCCGCCGAGGATGCTGGTTTGTACCTGAGTGTTCCCAATGGGGAACCGAGTATCAGACTGGATGGAGGGCTCATTTTAGTACCTGAAATTTTGGCTTCTAAGGTATGGAGTAGGTAGCTTCAAGTGCCGTGTCATACTTTAAATTTTAGAAGCCGGCAAGAAGATGGAGACAATGCTACTCCTGCTTGCTACCTTATGCTCTACCTGTACTTCTTTACACGGGTTTGTCGAATGCGGACAACAATCGCAATGGAACTCACAAGTAGCAGATCGAAATCTGATAGGACAGCGATTATCTCGGGTGAAATCGCGAACCACCAATGGACAGCTCTGGCTTGCCCGGAGACAACTTCCGCGGCTGATAAGCGTCAAGTGGCCGGTCGGTTTGGCTACTAAGGTACCTAAGGTAATTACGAAGTATGCTAATTAGATACAAGCGAGGGGAATCAGGCCAGGGGCATGGAAAAGTGGGCGAGGGGAAACGGAATTCTTTCATTTCTGAGGTTTCGCGTCCCAGAAGTCGACGAACTTCTTGGCCGTGTCCGATCGATGACCGGGATCAAGGAACCTTGGAAGCTGGTACCACTTAGTGACCATGAGTCGTGGAGTCTTCAAAGCCCTAAGGTACCCTACCTACCTTATAATAATAAGGTACCTTGGGTATCTTTCCAGGTCGTCGTCGGGACCTAAGACCTACGTAATGTTGCCCGTCCTACGAACTATATCCTCTTGGTCTGCTCTATCCCTCTTTCCCCTCCTCGTTATCGGTCCTCTCCGTTAAGACCTGTGTCCACCGAGACTGGAAAACGGTCTGCTGGTCTTGTATTGTCTTTTTCTTTTTCTCGTTTTTTTTTTCTTTCTTTTTTTTTTCTTCCCCTGCAGTTAGTTGCCTGCACGTCCGTCGCCGGGAATAGCAAAACAGCTCGACCAACGCCCGCGAACGCATACGATTCAATCCTCCGTCGTTCCTGTCCGTTTTCACGTTGACCAACTCCGCGCTCTGCAGATATTCTAACTGCTGATTTCATTCCTCGAGCCGTTAACCGCTCCATTCTCACCATCCTCCTCACAAACAATCTCCTTGTTTCACTCGAGGGCTTGCGACATTCTCGGCTCAGTACAACACATAGTCCCGTTAAACACCGACTTCGTGCCTGCCAGAACTCCACTACTCGACCGGATCATTGCGTTCAAGGACCGAAAAAAAAAAGGAAAAAAAAATAATAATACCTGAAGCCAATAAGCCATTCTGCCGAAAACACGCTTAAAAGCAGAGCGATACGTGGCGACCAAAGGTGAGATCGACTGCTATCTTTGTGACAATTCTGTTTTCTCGCATCTCTTCCCCCTGGTTTTTGGTTTTCGTACCTCGCACTCGCCTGTTCGCGTCCGCCGGCGCCGAGTTAGCGAGCGCCCGGCATCGTCAAACACAGCCCCCGGGACAGCTTCGATTCGCCTACGACGACTCCGCTAGGGGACTTGTTGCCGACCTCGGTTGATTCCTTGACGGGTCGCGCTGCTCTATGCTCTACCTAATTAGAGCACAGCTCGATACGGCATCAACACCCAACTTAGTCACGACGCTTTTGGATATTGGTCGACACATGTCAGACGCACTTCTTCTTCGTCAACCACGGACGAAAAAGCAACTTCTGGGGGGGTTAGGCGTTGACATTCTCTCATGTCCTGGATAACTACTCTAAAGTACCTTGTTCAGGACTGTTGAGAAATACATCGCAACCACCTCCCTACCTTAGTTCGCCAGCTTTCTCTGCTGGTTGTTCACAGGTTCCAAAGTTATCCTGGCCTAAACTCAGACGTCATGGACGGCCCGCTACCCACCACCCTCCATCGACGGTTGCATCGTCTTCGATATCCGATTTTCTATCGTCCAAAGTGTCGCAATTTAAATGGAACTCTGTGGGTTCTCTTATTGTTGGAACATAGTTTTTCCAGCTGTTGCTGGTGCTGTTGCTGGTGCTGTTGCTGGTTCTTTTCTTTTCTTGTCTTCCTTTCTTTTTGTTTCTGCTTGGCTTTGAAAGAGTGAAAAGCTCTGTGCAAAAACTAGCTGACGCGTCCTACTGCCCAAATTCTAGACTTCCTCACTACCCCGCCATCCGTTCAGCCACTCTAGCGATCGCGGTTTGTGGAGCGACTTGCCTATACTGTAGGTTGTTCCTTTTTCTTACCCCGCCACCCACTGCGGCCAACAACTTGCAGCGCCCGCCCCGGTTCGAGCCCTGGCCCCACGCCTACTGTGTCCCACCTCCCTACGCTCCCTACCAACCATCAAACACCCTTTCGACAATCCATTTTCGATTTTAGCGCGCCGCCCAACTCATTCACCATTCTTCCGTTTTCTCCCCCAGAGTATTTGTCTTTGCTGACCAGGTCGGACGAACAACTCAGCCACCATATCGTGGCCAACAAACGCTCCGCTCCCACTGTAATTCCTTCCGGCGCTCGATACAGCCCCGAACCCTCCTAGATCCAGCAACCGAGCCCACTTCGACCAAGTTCTGAAGAGGTTCCCGTTTTCCGAAGCAAACATATACCACCAAAACTCGCATAAAGATGGCGGAATTCATCAGAGCACAGATTTTCGGGACAACCTTCGAGATCACCTCGAGGTATTCAGACCTGCAGCCCGTGGGAATGGGAGCCTTTGGACTCGTCTGGTACGCCCGGCTCCCTGGTCAATGGCCTCGGAAGCCTCCCCCTCTTCTCCCTTGATTGCGCGCATTAGCGGCTGACATGGCATCTCGTGTGATCCTCTAGCTCCGCTCGCGACCAGCTCACCAACCAGAATGTGGCCGTCAAGAAGATCATGAAGCCCTTCAGCACTCCTGTCCTGGCGAAACGAACGTACCGAGAGCTGAAACTCCTCAAGCACCTGAGACATGAAAACGTGCGGCCTTCCTTTGCTAGGTCTTCTCGCCGTTGACTCATGCGAATCTCACCTGCTAACAAGTCGCGGTAGATCATTTCTCTGAGCGACATCTTCATCTCTCCTCTTGAGGACATCTACTTCGTCACGGAGCTGCTCGGTACCGATCTGCACCGGCTGCTCACGTCCCGACCTCTCGAGAAGCAGTTTATCCAGTACTTTCTTTATCAGATCATGGTATGTCTGGTCTCCGGCTCGCTTCGCCGTAGCAGACAAGACGAGGACAGGATAGACACTGACGGAGAGAATAGCGCGGATTGAAGTATGTGCACTCGGCCGGCGTGGTGCATCGCGACCTGAAGCCCAGCAACATCCTCGTCAACGAAAACTGCGACCTAAAGATTTGCGATTTCGGACTCGCCCGCATTCAGGACCCCCAGATGACCGGCTACGTGTCAACGCGATACTATCGTGCGCCCGAGATCATGCTTACGTGGCAGAAGTACGACGTAGAGGTCGATATCTGGAGCGCCGGATGCATCTTCGCCGAGATGCTCGAGGGCAAGCCGCTCTTCCCCGGAAAGGATCATGTCAATCAGTTCTCTATCATCACCGAGTTGTTGGGTACTCCCCCAGACGACGTTATCAATACGATTGCAAGTGAAAATGTAAGTTCCCGCGTTGAGACACTTCAAGCATGGGGAAAATGAGGACGAAAGGCCAGATGGGGCTAACTTTGAGGCTTCGCCCACGTCCTCGTGTGAAGACGCTACGATTTGTCAAGTCGCTACCCAAGCGGGAACGCCAGCCTCTGAAGAACAAGTTCAGGAATGCGGACCCTGGTGCGATCGACATGCTCGAGAGAATGCTCGTCTTCGACCCGAAAAAGAGGATAACGGCCACGGAGGCTTTGGCGCACGAATACCTCGCCCCTTACCATGACCCCACCGATGAGCCAGTGGCCGAAGAGAAGTTCGACTGGAGCTTCAACGATGCCGACCTCCCAGTCGACACGTGGAAGATCATGATGTACGCACCCCCTTGAACCCAAACTCTTGCTTGAACCTGAAAACCCAGTCCGGATAAGACGGGCATAAGGAAGGTCTGGAGCGACCAAGCAAGGTTGACAAGTTTTGACTACAGGTATTCGGAGATTCTCGACTACCATAATGTGGATACGGACATGTCTCAGTTGGATGAGCAGATGAACGGGCAGGAACAAACACAATAACCGAAGGGTGAGGATGCTGGCAGCGCGAAGGACAAGCCAGAAGAGCCCGGGGAAGAGCGGATGGGTTGGTTCAGTGGAGAAGAAAGTTCCGGGGAGGACACTTGGGACACTTTGACTAGGACGAAATCAGACGAGAAGACGCGATACCACGCGACACGGCAAGGGTCGGGGAGAGGGTGTTCGGATGCCTGGTATATCATAGTGCCTTGGCGTTGGAGAGACGGATGGGATAGGAGGAGGTATTTTTTTTCTTGTAAGGTTTTGATACGACATTCAAAGAAAGGTCAGCGACGAACAAGAGTAATTGGCATATGACACCGACGGCCCCTTGTCTACTCGGATGGGATTTCAGGACGGGATCTTGGTGTTGGGGGTGGGGTTCTTTATACGTGTGAGCGAAGAAGGGGACGTGACATTGTTGGGACAGTCGAGAAGGAGAGTGAGAAAGGAGAGAGAGGGGAAGCAGGAGATCAGGAAGGTCAAGTCATGGAGCGACATTCTATGATATATCACTTGGGATATTTGAAGCTTCGTCAGTGGAGCCCCAAAGGAGGTGGCCCCCTAGATATAATCAAAATATTCCACACAGGTGGCTCATGTTTTGAAATGCACCAGGAGGCCGAGGGGAGTTGTAGTCGTACTCTGCGTATAGAATACCGAATCAACGCAATCCGGCGCCGGCGCCGGTGCTGGGGTTTTCGTTTTCGTTTTGCTTTGCTTTTCACGTTCCATCTCATACAATACAGAAATAACACGCAGATGAGACCTGCGCATGTTTAGCAACGCCGTTAGACGATGTCTTCTCTACCTTGGGACAAATAGAAGCTGAGAAACGGGGGGGGAGAAGCTGGGGTAGGCAGTTTGCCAACTCAACATCCTGTCGTGCCACCACAACAGAACCTCCCAAAGGAGTTAGTAGGTGGCGTCGGTCCGTCGGACGAGGGCCCACTGAGTATTAATGTGAACATGGCAATGCTTCACTGTTGTTTGGAGTAACTGTACGTGTAGGGAGTTCTACACTAGTGGCGCTTCTTCACCGCTCTGGCATTGGAAAGCAGCTGAGTAAGGTACGGATAAGAGAGGAGGGAAGAGAGGGAACCAAAAAGGCGGTCTCGTCCTTCGACCCATCACTCTTGGCAGTCTTGAGGATAATCCGTACGCTTTTATGTACCTCCGTACCTCCGTACCTCGTACCTCCGTACAGCGTACTCCGCACAGTGGCTCCTCCCTAGGTACCTTACGCTGTTCAACTCGCCCCGACAACCGGCTTGGACCCTTTGGGATGGCTGCTGTATCAGCTTCATGCACGAACAGCTGTCGATCGGCAGACGACGACGTCCTCTGTAGATTTTTTGTAGATTGTACGGAGTAACCCCGCCGCCATCTATACGGAGTATAAACTCAAAAACTTCAAAAAGCTCAAAAGCCTCAAAGGAAAAGACAAAGAAGGGAAAAGGAGTGTCCTTTCAATAGGTTTTACTTCTTCTTTGTCTTCCTTTTTCTGGGTCCTTCAATTGGAACTACGCCTACGGAGTAATTACATGGCAACCCTGTAAGGGTTTCCACTGGAGTTCTCCCTCTTCCCTCAAACCAAAAGAAGCGACGCCCTCTTCAATCTCCAGAATATAAGGTACCATCGCCATGAGCGCCTCGGACGACGCCACGAACCCGGCTCCCGCTGTGGCGGCGCCGGCGACAACTACGACGAGTGTACCACCAACTCCCAAGACGCCGCCGGCCAAACCGGGCTTCATTCCTCTCGTCACCGTCGTCGGCTTCCATCATGCCAGGGGACCCGAGGTGGAGTCGTGGTTTGGGGCGCCCGAGGGAAGTGACCCGGCCATAGACTTTGGGTGGTCATTGCTGCCCTTTATGGCTCTGAGTGACGGCGCACACGCGTGAGTACACCTTATGCACCGCCTTCGTTGCTCATGTGCTGAACTGACTGGGTTTTCATCCTCTTGCGGCCTCGTAGCTCCGACGAAGACTTCAGCTACTTCACCCTCCTGTATCCCGCCGCCACCGAAACCTCGCCCGCGACCTCGCTCTTCGGCATCTCCTGCACACGCCAGCTGGATGCCTCCCAGCTCCTCAACCGACCCGCCGACGTCACCCGCTCCACCGTCCAGAAGGCCGTCGTCGTCATTGCCGACAGTCCCCATTCCTTCGGCATGATGCGCGAGCGCCTCAGCGTCGTCACCCAGGCCTGGTTCGCCCAGCGCGAATTCACCGACACGGAAATCCTTCGCCGCTTCCAGGAGAGTCTTGCGGAGGAGAAGGGACGCCAGGCGAGTGAAGAGGAGGACAAGGACCAATACCTTGGCATGAGCCTGCGCGAGCTCGTCAGGGAGTTCCGGTGGCAGACCCTGGTGCTGCTCAAGTCTTGTTTGTTACAGCCCAAGGTACCGTGCCGTTTTATTCCTTTTCTTCTTCTTTTCTTCTTTTCTTTCTTCTTTTTCTTTTCTTTCTTCTTTTTCTTCTTTTTCTTCTTTTTCTTCTTTTTCTTCTTTTTCTTCTTTTTCTTCTTCATGGAAACACTCGCCTCAGAGAGATGCTGACCTATACGACACCGCCTCCCTTTTACAGATGCTTTTCTTTGGATCACGATGCGAACGTCTATGCATGATGCAGTTTTCCCTTATTTCTTTGATACCCGGCCTTATCCGTAACCTACAAGACTGCGCCGATCCCGAGTTAAACGCGTACGAGTCCGGGTTGACCACGCCCACAACATTACGGACAAGCGATCGTAATTCTCTGTTGACGTATATGGGACTGCCCCTTCAAATATTTGGAAAGGGCAGCTTGTTCGGGCCTTATACTCCGCTTCAGCAGCTTGATATCCTTGCCGACTTCGGCACCAAGGCCTACATTGTCGGCAGCACCAACTCGCTCCTCCTCCAGCAAAAGGATCGATACAGCGACATTCTTATTAATCTCGACGAGAAAACCGTCAACATATCTTCCTCCTCCCTCCGGATGGCATTGACTCTATCCGCAGCCGACCGTCGTTGGATCGACTATCTGACCCAAGAGGTCAACGAGACATGGGACGACGCGAACCCTGGCCGCCCCAAGACTATGGGATACGTGGGCAGCGAGGAGTTCATCCGTCTCCAGTTCGAGGAGTACATCCTCGCCCTCCTCGCCTCCTACAAGTACCACAGATACCTCAAAGCGAACCACAACAACCCGCGCGCCCTGCTCCCTCACATCGACGGGGACCCGGCGTCCGACTTTGGCGCCGAGTTCATCGAAGCCTGGTCGCGCACCGAGAACCACCGCATGTGGAACGCGCACACCGACTCGCACCTCTTCGACGTCGTGGAGCCCAAGCACCCCTGCGCCGGCGGCCTCACCGTGGAGGACGTCCAGCGACGCATCACCCAGCAGGTCCAGGACATGCACCTCGACGAGCGCTTCGCCCAGGGCCGAGAGGTCCTGGGACGCAACCTGGCCGCGGGCCGCGAGAAGGCCTCTTCGCTCTTCAACAAGCTCTATTCCGACATGGAGACCTACCGGGAGGCGCAACGACAGAGGGCCAAGGGACTGGAACAGCAGCAGCAACCGCAACCGCAACCGCAACCGCAGCCGCAACATCAGCGAAGCGCCCTCGGCAGTCTTGTGTCGGCCGGTCCCGATAGCAACGACGCCCTTCACCAACAGGGGGCAGGGTGGGGCCAGGGGAGCGAGAACGACGGTAAAGCCCAGAACAACACGGCCGGCGCCAAGGCAAGCACGTACGTGGGCAGCTGGGTTACCTGGGCGGGGGAGAAGCGCAAGGGCTGGGGCGCCGGGTGGGGCAGGAAGTCGGACGGCAAGAGCGGCGGCGCGAGCTCTCCCGGCGGCGTCCTCTCCCCGCGGGAGAGCATGGCGCCGACCGAGAAGGAAGGCCGGGCGTCCGGGTCGTCCTCTTTCTTCCCGCGGACCAGGGACAGCGGCGGCGCGGGGGCAGAGAACGGCTCCGGCTATTATTCCGCCGTGTCGCACGGCAGGACGAGGGGCGGGGATCCGAGTCAGAGGCCTTTGACGGGCGACTCGTTCGGCGAGTCGATCATTTCGGCGGCGGGCACCACTGATTCGAATTCGACGCCGTCGAGCCCGTCGCGGGCTCGGGCACGACCGCCGCCTTTTCCGGGGGCGATACCGGATGCGGATGCGCTGGGTATCTATCCCGGGCTGGAGATCAAGGATGTCACGCATGGGAGGGGCGGTGACGGCGGCGACGCGCGCAAGAAGCTAGAGGCTGGGTCTGACGATGGGGAAAAGACACCCCTGCCTCGGACGGAGGAGGAGCTGGTGATACCCGAACCCAAGGGAAAGGAGAGTGATGAGGTGGGGAACAGTAGTCCTGCCATCACGGAGGGCAATGTCCTTACTGCAGAACCAACACCAACGGCAACTGCAGCGACAACAACAACAACAGTAGCATCGGCAACGGCGGATGGAGACGTGTCTAAATCATGATGACAGAAATTGACCGTGATGGTAGTCTGCTCCCCCTATATTCAATGATGCAAGCAATATAGTGCTTGCTTGCTTGCTGTTTCGGATGAGGGAGGAAAGATGCCAGTCAAGGGAGAGAAAGATGATAAATAAATAATCACAAATAAAGAACTAACAAGCATTCCTCTTTGCCCCCTTCCCCC